CACATTAAGTCATGAATCGTATCATGTTGACTTCCTGAAGCCAGGCTTTCTCAAGTCGGCATTTAGTAAAAACTGACCATACACTACAGTAAACCTGAACCTGACTATTGTAGCCTTGAGTTTTGATATAATGTTTAAGGCTGCAGACTAACATAAAATTTTAAGACCATGTTAGGCTTATATAGTATATTTTTTTCAGTGTAGCCAACATTTTGCAGAAGAATCAAAAGCTTCTGCTGATTGACTTGATGGCTGGATGTCAGATTGTATATGAGTCAGAGTCTAAGTTCATGGCTAACTCCAGCCAATCAGGGCCCTGATTACACCTATTTTATGTGAAGTGAGACACTGAACACTGCAGTGATGACTTACAGACACTCACCCTCAGAGCACAAAAAGATGATGATGCAGATGATGTTACTGCATGGTGATATTGTTATGCACAAATTATTTGTGTTTTCATCTTGTGAATATTGTGTCCTGGAGAGGGAGATTTTGACAAGGAACAAAATACCAAATGTGTCCAGACAAGTCTTGAGTCTGGATAGAACATAATAAAATGTTATCAAGGAGGTATTATTCTTTTAAGATGCAGTGGGAGAGGGGCAGATCTGAGGCTCGCTTTAAAACAGAAGTACTTATAAATTCCATGTTCAAATTACTGTAATCCTAATAGATTTAGAGAGCATATCAATGTCCGTACGAAACACTCTTCAGATTAACATTTAGATTGAAGTGACATTTACGGACTTCAGCAGTCATAGATCAGGCCTGAGTGGGAGGATTCACAAACACACCCATCACAGTCATTCTCCATGCCCTGAGGAGGACTCTGTGTGAATGTGAAGTGGACCATCTCACTGCTACAGTCTCCCATTAGATTAGCGCCCATTAACTCAATTATTGACAGGTGAGTCTTATGATCTGCTATGGCCAGGCTGTGAAGCCCACTTTTTTAGCCACACATCGCCACCAGCAACAGCCAAACAGCAGGACTCAGTCGTGTGAAAAGAGGTGTCGTGCCATATAGTTCACACTTGTGCAGGTCCCTCTGGACAAACTGACATTGGATGGAACCTAACTCAAAATTTACACCTTCCAATTTTTGCTCTCACCATCATACATCTATAGTAAGCCCATTTACTGATGCATCATCTTTCAGAGCATGTTTTAAAGAATTTTTTATTTGATCTGTGAATGAAGCAGGGTTTTTAAGCTTTATCTTCTTCCTGTTTCTTTTATTCATGCCAGAAATGACAAGGCACATAATGGTTGAAACACGTATATATCTTAAGTGCTAAGTGTTAATTGCATGAGCAATAAATAAATAAATAAATAAATGTTCTCCCTATAAGAATGGCTGTGACATCACCCCTGGACAACTATAATAGTGTTTACAGGGCAGGCTACTGTTAAAACTAATTGACAAACCTATGTAAAATATTCATTATTTTGTCAAATTAAACTTCCATTTATCATCAGTACAGTCAACTAGAGCCATAGCAAAGCCAAGTTATATTTTTTTCTTAACAGTTTGCCAAAATCTGAATTCTTCTAAAAGTCAAGAAAACATTTCATGTGCAGCATAATGGAGGGCATTTGGTGTAAAATGGTAGGACAAAGGTTTCAAAAAGTTGCTAACTGCACAAGGTTTTTTAGGTTAAGATATTTTTGGTTTACCTTCAGAAACCATTTTGAATTCTATGGCAATTTGCCACTGAAATAATATTAATATATCTTTTATCAGCTATCTTATTTAATTCCTTGTTATTCTACATTATACATGCTACATTCTTTAGCGCTACGATTTTGAAGGTTAACTCAGTGTTCCAGGTCATGAAGTAGATTTTAGTGCCTCCAGCTCAATTATAAAGAGTTACTTATAGTGTGTTGAGACTCCAAGCTGTGGGCGTCGTGCTGACCTGTCATGTTCACTGATTCCTTCAAAATCTAAATGTGATGTTGTGTGACTTTATTTTGGAAAACAAACAGCATTGAAAGCCAACTCAAGACAGAACAGCAAACTGTTTAGAAAACCAGTGGCTATATATGACTAAGCCTGTAATAAATTGTAGGAAGTTCTGTCCATTCCCTGTGGTGTATCTTTTGGATTTGAAATTTACCTCCTCTGTCACAGTATATTGTGGGGAAAGAAGCTTACGGCTCTGTGGCATGTGGCTGTCCAAAAAAGATGGTACAGTCTTGATTACCTACGCACATACAAACAACTCATTAATAATGTAATATGCAATTAGTGACTTCCCCACTTCAGAGCCAGATCTCCCATCACTAGACCCCCACCCTCTGTACAGGAACTGGACAAATATGGAAATGGGAAGTCATTACTAAAACATGGCACATATTAGCTTTTGTGAAATGCACTGGTCGGACTGGTGCCGAGTACTTTGTTGTGGGTGTCACATCCTGTAAAGTGAGCCCTTGGTCACAACATCCCCCACCGTTTTACATCCATGATCTAAAAGTTAGCTTCACTAAAATATTTATGGTTTACTGTTTATACTTAAGTGTAATTGCTTGTGAAAATCATAGGTTTCCGATAAGGAATTAAGCGTTTCTGCAGGGGGGTCAGTTCTTGTAAGTATAAGTTTCAAACTCAAAACATTGCTTTATCAGCTAAATTCTTATCAGTGTTATTATTCATATAACAGATTTATAATACTATGTTTCATGTTACAAAGTCCCACCACTTGTCACAGCAGTTTAGGAAGAATCCATCACCAGTGAAAGTGACATGTTAATCATTGTGTCCAAATATCTATTTTCATGACAACTGGGCAAGCTGTCAAAGTCAAAGCCTGTTATCAGATGTTAGGTAATGGCACCTTTAGAATTTACAAAATACACTAAAGAAATGTTGCTCTTAAAAAAGTTCTCACATTAGACAGGTATTTTAAAATTTAAATGTAGATGGTGTTGTGTAAAAAGCTTTATATTCCATTAACTTTAAGAGTTTATATTGTCAATTTTCTGTGTGAATGGATACTGTGCATAGAATTTCAACCACTGGGCTGTGTATGGACTACATTACAAGCAGCTGCTATCTGTATAATTACTTCCTAAAAAGATTAGTGCGTTGACCATGTTGACTAGAGCGACAAGAAAAAATACACTAGACTAGAGCCGCATAAACCAACAAGGTCAGATTCAACTTAACATACAGTCCATTAACTCGGATAACTTGCACAGAATACTAACGTCAAACTAAAGTGTTAGAGTTGGGTCCGTGGACGTAGACCGTGACGTCACGAGGACTTTTTGCCCCTTTTTGAGGAAGGCGTGTGAGTGGTGGTGATGGTGGGACTTCGTATTGGTCATCAATGAGTGAGGCTGCGTAAATCTGAGCACAACGCGATATAAGCACTTCTGGTCCCACCTACGCTTCAGTCGCTGATTGGCACCAGACAGGTATCCAGCTGTTCAGTCTCACTTCTACAAAAGACACCAAGAGCAGGGCAGCTCAGGCTACACTCTGCGGCTGGATCTAAACCACAAGGACTTTTTAAACAGGTAGACTTTTGCCATTTTGTCTTTGTCTAGTCTGTCCTCGATTCCAGTAGACTATTTGTAAAGAAACTGTTGTTTTAACGCACCAATGTACTTTTACGCACAGATTACACACGACTTTTAGGCGCATTGGGGGTTATCTCTTTTCCATTAATGATGTTCTTTTTTTCCAGACAGGTCGTTGTTAAAATGAGGGCGGGTTTGCTTTTAGTTGCGCTTTTTCTCGTCATGAAACTTCGGTACAGCCAGTCCAGATGTGACGAGCCAGACGCACGAACATCAAGTTCAGAAGTAAGCTCTCTTCTTTTTATAGTTGGCCTGTGATGTTTGTCTTTTTTATTTTTAACTTGAATTACACGTGTGTGTCTTTATAGCAGACCACTGACCGTTTGGATAATCTTAAAAGAAACATTTTGAAGAGATATAGCGATTTGGATTATGACAGCTTTGTGGGTTTGATGGGGAGAAGAAGCGCCGGTAAGGGTGTTTTATTGTTGAAATTTGCTGTTTCATATTGGCGTGTTTTGAAATAGCCTACATTGACGGCGTTTTAATCATTTTGTCTTGTTTCCACAGAACAAAACCCAATTCAGCCCCCGAATAAAAGTAAGATCGGAGATATAGAAATATTTAAAAAAAATTTGTCTCAGGTTAAACTTCTTTTCACTTCTTTTACCAGGGGAAATGCATGACATCTTTGTTGGTCTAATGGGGAGGAGAAACTCAGAGCCTGGTAAGTGCTGTTTCCTACCAATATTCACAAGACTTGCCTTTGTGAGTTGAGTGTTCATGTATATTTTGATGGTACATTGCCCATGCTGCTCATCTTCTGCACAATATATCTTTATGAGTCCGCCTAGTAATATGTGCTCTCACAGATAATGGCCCTTGGAGGAGAGAGAGCCCAGAGAGGAGAGGGATTTTTCTCAACAAATGCAGACTGAGGTGAGTGATTCAGTTTAATAATTTTCACCTGCAGAAATAGATATTTTACTGGGTTAACCATGCTATTAGCACACCATTATTAGTTAAGATTTTTTTCTTTTGCGCAACCCACAACTTCACTTTTTGTGGAAACATTTGCATATGTTAACTCACTCTTAAACCCTTTTTGTTGCAGGTTTCTTCAGGGTCTGTAGCATCTTAATGACTATTCCTTTATTTATTATTTGAGACTGTAAAAGGATTGTGAACACCACTAGAAACTTTTCAGTTGGAAGCAGCTTGGCTTGAAAATGTGTGACCCAATACCCGATGAACTACAGTGAAATTACACATCTGAGATATAGTATGCCATTTTGCTAAAATGTAAAATAAAATATTTTTTGTATACTCTTAAGTTATTATTAGTGGTTATCATATCTTTCCTCTGTCTGAAATGTTGAGTCACAATGTTACATAAAAAGTGAGAAAAAGGTTTACTGAATCGTGTATTGTACATTTGTCAAACAGCAGCACTTCATCAGAGTAGCTCATGTCACCTCAAAGTCAAATAAAAACATTTCTCAAAATGCACTCATGGCTTTTTAAAAACAGTGTGCTTCAATGCCTGCTGTGCATTTTAATAAAACAAGTTTAATAAAACAAACTGGAATAACCCATTGTTGCCTCAATATTTTTTCCTTTGATTGATTAGTGGATTAGAAAGACCTAGTTGCTGTTAAAAGCTGAAATAGGCACTGTGATTTTTGTACAATAAAATATAGTTAAAAAATAGTCAAATTAGACTATAAAAAACTTTTCCATAAGAGTTGACAGTTGAAGTCCAAATCACATCAATTTAGTAATTGTCCTTTCTTTCTTTGTAAATACAGTCACAGCATAATCAATGTTGCGTTTCTTGTGTTAAAGTAGTTGTTGCATTCTCATTATGTCTATATTTTGGACTAGTTTCCTCGTTTTTTGTTGTGGTTTGGTTCATACTGAGGATGTGGTCTGCTGTCGTGAGGTTTCTCTGGTCTGTCATCCCATTCGTGCTTTCATGAGCAGGTGGAACAGTGGGCGTGTGGGAGAGTGAGGAGGTGGGGAGGAGACCACGGCGAAGGGGAGGTCTATACCGAGGCTTGTATCCATACGCCCTCAGGTGGTAAGTGTAGTACTCCAGTGTGTACATGAGCTCTGCATCCACATAATGAAATGACACAGCTAGGTCAGAGCAGCACTGGGGACCCTGAGAACACCACAGATTAACAGCGTAAACAAATCAAATGTATAAATTCACAATAATAAATGTTAATTGCAATGGTTATTGCATTATTGGATCTAGTTCATTTATCTTTCTGAGTCCAGTTAGGTTGAAAGCTATTATGATAGAATCAAACTAATAATATGAAATTTAAATTGTTTTGTAAGATAAAATAAATTAAAGCAGGCAAACATTGCTCCTTTGTAAATGTATGAAAAGCAAATAATTGTTTGTTGGTAATCCAATTATAAAATTAAAAAAGCTTAATTGTGTAGTACCAGGATTAGAAATTACTTAAGTGAATAAGTTGTACAGTATTTAGTTTTAATCACCAAGTCTAGCTGATGGCACTGACCCACAAACCGTTTTGATTTAGTACAAAAACTCAATTACTTTCATATAATGCCAACTTCAGTCCAGTCACTCTCTGACAGTAATAGCTCTCATTTTAATTGCAAAGTACAGTAAATTAGCAGCAGCATCAGCAACAAATTGAGCAATTTTCTCCTTTGTTGATCGGACATTGTCTCTGCAGCAATCATGTACTCAAACTGTACTAGGATCTATTTTAACATGCTGCTTTCTTTTCAAAAGGTCAGGTGGAGATTTCAAATGGGCAAAATAATCAATTATTAATTTGCTTAGTGCTTAGGTTTAATCCTTGGACGTGTAAAGAGACTGTTTTACAATTGTTTGTTAACTTGTTTACTGTACAGAATGTGTTGATGTCATACTCCTAGTTTAAAAGGATAAAAACATTATCCAAACAGAATGTTGTCATCTGAAGCCAGACAATATACATACATAAATGAGGAGAAATACTGTGTCTTAACGTGTAATTTTGTACTAATACTTGCCTCAACAATTTGGTAGTAGCAGTAGCTCCAGTACCAAAAGCTCTTGGAGAATTTTCCTGTTAAATGATGCTCCGGTACAAAGGGATGAAATGTCTCTCTCTGCAAAGTGTCTCTGGAATCCCCTGCCATGACTCCCATCCTTTCTAAGCACTGTCCTAGGGCAAGGTCCTCTACAGGAGTGGTATGTGTACAAACTTTAGTCCGAAACCCCTCCACAAACCTCTGCAGGGCCTCTTTACTGAGCACGTACCCTGCCCCTCCGCTCATGTAGCCCTGTTTGGTGTAAGGTTTAAAGCGTTTGCCAAAATATACAGGTTCTTCTGGAGTGTGATTGGACAAAAGCCAGCGCAAGTTGTCCACATTCACAAAAGTGTCATCGTCAGCTTTGAGGAACCAGTCTGCATCATTTAAATGGTGCTGGTGGACATAATGGAAAGCACGGATGGTTTTCCAGTAGAGTTGGTCGCGGCCCTCCTTGGTGCCAAGGCCCACAGTGGGAAAGTCACTGTCCTCTTGAGAGCTCATGAAAACCACCAGGTTACAGTGGCGGCTCCAGGTGGCTCTGACATGACGTGCTCGGATCTCCAAATTTGAAGGGCCAGTCATTACCCAGCAGAGGACTCGGACTTTCTTGTATAAGGCATCTGCAACCTGGCTATCCTCCCCTAAAAAGACACAACATAAGAGTGTTTAGGTTTAGGTACTACATTACTTTTAAAAGAAAAAAGTTACAAAAGTGGTACTTTTTCAGAAAATTCATGAATACATAAACACCACAAGACCACCTGTATGATGAGGATGTATATGGTTTGACAAGTGCCGAGCCATGTTTCTTCCAGTTGGTCAGTTTATCTTTGAAGATTGTTCCTTTCTCCTGGGCCTCAGTCAGCACAGGGTAGCTCCTCTCGAACCACACCTGGCGCAGGTATAAATATACGCAGCACGAACCAACCAGGAAGCCCAGCATGAAGGCCCATCTGGAGCTGGATCCCTTCATCTTTGTTCGACTGCTTTCAGTTAAGACATGTCTACAATTCAATATGCCACGAAATAAAGGAGAAGTCTGTTAGTACACTATAGCAGCATTAAGCCTATGCACAATAGATGGCTACTTGAAATAAAAATAACAATAACATTAATAAACTTCTCAATAGGGTTTCAATCCTGCTTCTGGTTGTAACCCTATTATTAGTTAGTTCATATATAATCTTTATCAAAAAATGCCAAAGCGTGATTCAATTCCAAGCGTGATATTTGTGCTATTTTTTTTTTTTTTAATATTTAGTAGTATATGCACTCGATTTTAATTGTAAATAGCCACGCGGAGCCTAAATGATCATGTACATTGTTACATTATTACCTTACTTCTGCCTTGTGCCCTTTCATTCATGAAAGCGACGTAACTCCAGACTCGAGCCGCGCAGCCGTCAAATAAAGAACACATGGCACCTGCACCCTGTGTCTTCTGCTCGTTGTATTCACGGTTTGAAATAAAAGCCGTCTTTGTTGTGGATGAATAAGATGATTAGAAAGAGGAATAAACAGCAGATTCTTCTGCATCACAAGCTTAGCCCTAAAAGCTGGCTTCTGATTGGCTATTGACGCGTTACGCAGGCGATTAAGGAAGCCGCTTAACCGCTTTGAGCATGGGCACTGAATTTTCGAATAAAATGGACTATTTTATATATTATTTACATTTGCATGTTTAAAATCTTTCCAATAATTAGTTTAAGGAACCACTAATGTAAAACAAAGAAAAAATATATAGGCTACATTAATGCTTGCAACATGATAAAATACATCAGCTAGCCTTGGGCATCGTAGACTGAAAAATAGTAAAATAATACGTTTGTGATTCAACCTAGTAATAGTTTATATATATATATATATGTGTGTGTGTGTGTGTGTGTGTGTGTTTCTCACCTTCCACGGTGGTAGGTCTCTCTCACCCTCATTCAGCTCGGGTCCTCGGGAGCTTGAGAGTTCTGCGCAGTATCTTTGCTGTTCCCAGTACTGCACTTTTCTGGACTGAGATGTCCATTGTTTTTCCCGGTATCTGTTGTAGCCACACTCTTCCAGTTTGGGGGTTACAGCCCCGAGTGCTCCGATCACCACAGGCACCACTGATGCCTTTACTTATATATATATATATATATATATATATATATATATATATATATATATATATATATATATATATATATATATATATATATATATATATATATATATATATATATATATATATATGGAAGTAGGCCTATAATAAGATCAAACTAAACAGAACTCACGCAATTTCATATACTGACCTGTAGATGTCACTCTCAGCTCACTCCAGTCCAGCAACAAAGAAGGCGCAAATATGTCATTACATTTGTAATGTTGCAAATTTTGCACCTTTTTTTTATACAGTCTAAGGTTTGCACCAAGCAAATAAATCATCTGTTCGAGTTTTTAAAAAGTTATCCACGACAACATTTGGATCCATATAATGGTCAATTTATTCAATGACAAATATTTAATTGGTTCTTTTTCTGACAGTTGGCAATAATTCTAGTTTATGAGTCAATAGGATGTTGCATGTGTAGAGTGGTGAAATTAAACCGTGCAAACTTTCAGTTTGTGCAATTTGAATACATAATAGGAAGTACACGTACCTGTACCGATAACTGAGCAGTTCTTGTAATTATTTACAGATAGTAAAGCCTGTCTTTCACTTTTTCCAGACAAACATTGTGAGACGTCAGGCAACTACTACTTTAAGTAATGCTAGGCTATTATACATTTATTTGCATGTAATTTAGCTGCCAAAACAATGCATTGTCTTGGGTGAGAATGGAAGCTGATGAGTAGCCCTATTGTTGCGTAACCCATGTACTCAAATGAGCTTATGTGCCAACAAACAGTAGTGTAAAAATATATATAAAAACAGTAAAGGTACCTGCAGAAAATTACCAGCATATTTTCTGTTGAGTGGTCTGTAAAAAGCATTTCTCAGACCAAGGGCACATACAAGTTTGTTTCACAATATTTAATCACACAATTAAACTGTCCAACAAAAAGCACATACAGAAAACAATAAGAATTACACACTGTAAAATCTAACACTAGAGTTAACTTGCATTCAGCTAGTTTACTTTGCTCACAGCTACGAATTTGTGGATCTTAATGGTTATGGTAAGGTAACAGTTATTTTCAGGGTGAAAAAAGCACATTTCTTGTCAGTTAGACTAAGGTCAATTTGAATGCGATAAGTAACTTCAACAGTGACATATTATTGCCAAAAGTCCAGCTCCATTTCGCAGTCTGTTCCAGTTCTCCTTTCGCTATCTCCCTGTTTTTCCTACAACTGCCACTCATTCCTTGATCCTCCCAGGACATCTCTATATCCCCCCTCTGTTCATCCAGTCTCTATATCCCCCCTCTGTTCATCCAGTCTCTATATCCCCCTCTGTTCATCCATCTCTATATCCCCCTCTGTTCATCCAGTCTCTATATCCCCCTCTGTTCATCCAGTCTCTATATCCCCTCTGTTCATCCAGTCTCTATATCCTCCCTCTGTTCATCCAGTCTCTATATCCCCCCTCTGTTCATCCAGTCTCTATATCCCCCCTCTGTTCATCCAGTCTCTATATCCCCCCTCTGTTCATTCAGTCTGTGGTAGATTACACCTGCACACCTATTTTGTTTCTTTCAGCATTTTTTTGAGCCTTAAGTGCGCCTTAATTACTGCAGCTTGTATCTTAAGTGGCCTTGGTTGAGTTGACATGGATTGACCAAGCTATAATATTTTATTGTTACAAATGTTACATGTGTTTTGAGCTGATTGAGCTGTTTTAAGCTGAACACAAGTTTTGCTACATTTTTTTTCTAAGAATAATAAATATTCAAATCCTTGTATCTGATGCAGATCTAAATGACATTATTGTAGAATAGAACCTGTTTTTACTCTAACTTGTATATATAAGTAACATTTACGTGCTCAATTCAAGGCCCGGTCTGAATTTACAAAGGTAACACTCACAGCTGCTAAAATCAAACCATTGGATGCATTGTGCTCTCCACAGAACATGACCCACTCACCCACTACAGGAACATCTCACCCCTCTGCCCTCAGGAGAGAGGTACATTGCGCTCAGGTGCAGCTAGAAGCCTGGTGCCCTCAGCTCTGCTTTAGATTCACAGTCCACTTTAGTCTGATTTTTCAAGGCAATACATTTCCTAGATTTTTTGAACTAAGATCTATTTATTAGATTTTACAGTATAAGAATGCGCATGATGTAATTCAATAGCCCCACTGTCCAGGCCGATAGCGCACCCGTGCGCCCCGTCGGTCTCTATGTGTGACCACATTAACTGCTCCAAACGAGTGTTCAACTTTTAAAGGTCTGAAAACCCTTCTTAAATTGTGTGGTAAGGATATTAGCCTACAATGAAATGTGGTCACAAATTTCAAACTACTTTTCCGCGTAATAGCCAAGGAAGGGCACTGTGACAAGCAAAGTCTTGACGTTTGTTGGTAAAATCTTTTCAGGTAATACAAATGATGAGTGTCATCAAGGAGTGGCCCGTGGCTATCTACAGACGCCCTTTTGCGCAGGCTCTAGATTCCGTAATCTACAAATAACACCTACAGCTCCGGCAGGCAGCGGTAAGTGCACCTATATAAGTCTGTTGTTTTAGCTTTAGATAGTTCAGACTTAAGCCCTGTGACTTGAGAAGACTTGATGCTTCTTCTAAAGAATACATGTTTTTAGAAAATATTTTTCTCTTTACGGTTATAAATGCGGTGCTGAATTTTACAGGCACAAACTGGAACATGTCCCTCCTACTTCTCTATTTGTTACTTTGGATGTAACTGAAGTATTGTGACGTGGTATCCTCAAATGTACTACAGTAATATACAGTACAATACAGTAAAACAGAGGGTACTACAAAGAACATGATCCTTCCATTTCAGTGCAGACTACATGACAAAATAACTGCATTTTAAAATCTTAATTCTTTCTATTCTGACAGAAACGATTTGCACTGAGATCTTGTCAAGACATTTAAAAAGGAAAAAATAGCATTTCTACAACTCGTATAAATACTCATATATAAATATACTATGACTTTTTAAGTACAATTTAGTTTAAAAGTCATATGAATAGCAAAAATCTAAGATGGTACTTTGGTTTAAACACTTGAAATGACTTGAAGCTCTAAGCATACGACTTGGACTTGACTTATGGGCCAGTGGCTCAGAACTCGACTTGGTCTTTAAATTGAGACTTACTTGAGACTTGCAAAACGACGATTTTGTCCCACCTCTCATCTATTCTACTACTCTACAAACTCTGTTACCCTACACACTAGATGTAAAAGCTGACAAATAGCGACGTGTTTTTCGATTTAGTTTTTTTAATTTAAGTTTATTTGTTCACTTCATTTTTAGGCTATTGTGTTAACTAGCCTTTGTAAAGGTTACAACTGTATTAACATCTCTTTTCCACTGTAACTAACTTGTTTTGCGTCTTCTTATTTCCGGCATAGATGCCATATCCTCATAAAAGGACTTTTGGTTTGATCTTGTGTAGTGCACTTGGGGTGACTGTGTACGTTTGGAGTCACATGGGACTCTCAGGGGTGAATACTTTGCCCAGACAAGACAAAGCGCATCTCTTCCAATGGCTCAGTCACTACCAATATATTGTTGGAAACGAAAGTGGCATCAGAGTTAAGGATGGCATTGCATGGTATGTGGTATTCAACAACCCTCTTTTTGCTTGTGAAACATAGATTCAAACAAGTGTGATTGAATATCATTTTGTTTTTTATGGCAGCAAAGTGGCATTAAATGTGTGCTCATGTATACCTGATAAGGAGAGCTTTCGGCTCCCATTCTCAAAATTGATTTTTCCCAGAGTTTGGGCTCACTATCTGGACAAAGCCGTTTTGGAGTCTTACCCTGAACCAGAGGAGTTAAAGGTTCACAGAGCACAGGAGTACAGTAGCTTTCAGAAGAGGTAAGACAAGGCAGGCAGTGTATGTGAGGATTAGCATACAGTGATTTGCATGTTGACTTGCAAATATGTAAGTCCTGTCTATGTATCCTCCTGAGATCCAGCCCATTGAACTGCGTGTATGGACCTTTTCAATTTTGACTTTAAAGGCTAATATAATGATTGCACAGCTAATGCTCTGGGCCTGAGGTCTTATAAAATCGTCATATATAATATTTGCAGCATATAAAATGGGACCAGTGTTGGGAAGGTTACTTTTAAAATGTATTCCCCTACAGATTACAGATTACATACCCCAAAATGTAGTTTGTAATGTAATCCATTAAATTACTTAAAGTGAGTAACGTAATCTGAATACTTTGGATTACTTGATTTGCTGTAGAGAAGCAAAGACGAGGATGCTTAACTGTATTAAAAATATTATTGATAGAAGAGGAGGAGACACGTCTGTGCAGCATGGTTTAATCCTGTTAAATCCTGTTACATCCTGTTTTAGTCCTGGTTTAGTCCTGGTTTAGACCTGGTTTAGATCTAGTTTAGATCTAGTTTAGATTTAGTTTAGATGTGGTTTTAGTCCTGGTTTAGACCTGGTTTAGATCTAGTTTAGACCTGGTTTTAGTTCTGGTTTAGATCTAATTTAGACCTGGTTTAGTCCTGGTTTAGTCCTGGTTTAGACCTGGTTTAGACCTGGTTTAGTTTTTGGAATTACCAAAAAAATAAATAAATAAAAATAAAAAATAATGTGAAAACAGGAAAATACCGCCATGTAATCCATTTATTTCAACAAAGTAACTGTAATCCAATTACCACTCATTGAAACAGTAACTGTAACTGGAAACAGTTACTCATAATTTGTACTCTGATTACGTAACTCTGGTACATGTAATCTGTTACTCCCCAACACTGAATGGGACAACATATATTTAACTTGATTGTGGGAAAATTTTATTACCAACATATTTAATAATCTTGTAAAATGACATATGTAGCAGCTTAATTCATATTTTTGTCTGTTTCAAACACAGATCTTACACTGCAGCCAATAGACTCATTGTGGCTGAAGCCAATAGTCCTCTGCAGTACCCTACGCAGGGAGTGGTGGTACGACCATTGAAAACTATCATCCTACCTGGTAATGCTCATAGTTTCAATGGGGCTTTTTTATTGCTGTTGATAATACTATGTGCATTTCAGTTTCTATTTGCCGCCTAGTTGCAATAATAAAAGTCCTCTTGTTGCAGGGTTGGCTCTTAAAACAAACAGAGCATCTATCTACAATGTAAGCACACAAGTGTGAGGTGCTATACACCATGAGCATTGTCTAATTCAAGACGAATTGCAAATCCACATTTCATTTTTATGACTATACAAGCTTTTGAATTCTTGTGGCAGGAGCATGTATTCCAAAAAAAAAAAAGTTTGATTTGCTTATCTAATTATTTGAGCTGTGAAAAACTGAAAAATATGTATGTCTGTTGAAGGTCTATTTGAGAGCTGCTCTAGGCACTTTTGATGTCGCAGCCACTGTAGAGGGTGTCTCTTTGAATGGTGAAAGTAAAAGCCTCATGACCCTATCCAGTCCTAATCTGTCCACTCTGAACAAGCAGCTGAGCCTTGTCACATACACCAACACTGTGTTCCATCCCAGGACTGCTGACAATGGTACAATCTTGTCATAAGTAATTCCATATTGTTTTTACTGAATTAATTTAAACAAATGTATAAGGAAGACAGATTAATTCTACAAATGTAATGGAACTGTGGTGGTAATTGTTTATGTCTTTGTGTGTGTAGTTGAGTTTGGAACAGATGGTCATCGTTCATTTTTCACAATTAAAATTCAACACAAAAGTACTACAAAGCTTTACAACTCTGGACACAAAGGAGGTCTGAAGCATTCATTCAAATGCTAACCATCACTTAATGTAATTTAAAGAGAATTGGTTTCTTTTTTCTAGAGTACAACATCAGTGGACTGGTCACTCTAGCGACGAAGACTTTTCTACGCTATGACAAACTCAAAGATCTCATTGATAGCGTTCGGAAGTACTATCCCACAGTCACTATTGTGATAGCTGATGATAACAAACACCCTCAACCTGTGACTGGGCCACACATCGAGCAGTATTTCATGCCATTTGGAAAGGTAAACAGTCGGTTAATAACATATGTGAGTTATGTAAATTAGTACCCTGTTTTTTAACATCCACAGGGCTGGTTTGCTGGCAGAAACCTTGCATTGTCTCAGGTAACCACCAAATATGTGCTATGGGTGGATGATGACTTCTACTTTACATCCAACACCAAACTGGAGAAGCTGGTGGATATTTTAGAGAAAACAACTTTGGATCTGGTGAGTGATTTGAGTTGTTCTTTTTGCTTTAGGATTGCACACAGCCTGCTATAATCTGTCTGGTGGCTATACAGATAATCCTCCAATGAGATAATACAACAGTAATAATCGGGCTAAACCTCAACATACATGTGTGAGACTTACCTCTCACCTTCTTATTAAGTGCATTTCTATGTCTTGCACTTAGGTAGGTGGGGCTGTGCGAGAGGTAACCGGTTACACAGCAACTTACCGTCATACTATTTCGGTGGAGGACGGAGGAGAAGAGGGGGACTGTTTACACATCCGGACCGGACACCACCACACCATTCAAGGCTTTCCCAACTGTGTTGTGGCTGATGCTGTCATTAACTTCTTTATGGGAAGGACAGACAAGTTGCGAGAGGTGGGATTTAACCCCCGCTTGGCCCGACAAGCTCATCTAGGTGAATGTGCTAAAATTAAAAATGCAAAAACTTCAACTATATGAAATATATTGCAATCAGTGATCACGTGTTTTATATTTTATTCCAGAATTCTTTATTGATGGTCTTGGCTCTTTGCACATTGCTTCCTGCAGTGACGTCATTGTGAACCATGCCTCAAAAATCAAACTGCCCTGGGGAAAGACAAGCTCAGAAAAAGAATATGAAAAATTTCGTTATTCTTCTGACAGTGAAAATTCTAAAATGCGCAATGAAGTCTTTTACTTTACCAACAGGTTCAAGTGCATGACAAGCAACTAGAACAATTTTTTTAAGCTTATATGGGTGTACATATTTTTGCATGTATATACACGGTAACAAATTACTGTAGTTTCTACAGTAACTTTTGCAACTGCTTCTTGCTTTCACAAATTACCTGTCATAACTGTAGATTGCAATGCTTTGTGGGACAAAAAAATATTACAGTTAGTAAAAACTTTTTCTACAACAGCCTGTTGTAAATTTAAATTATTTTGTGCTTTACTGTAGATGGGAGGATATTACATGTAAATGTTTTTTCAAATGATTTTCAAATGTACCGTAAATGAGGCACCGCGGTGTCAGAGATCCGAGCTGAGCCGGACGGACCCGGGTCCAGACGAGGCTGCCTCCAACATCTGAACACTCCGGTAGAACGGGTGTGGCGCACACGAGAGGCAGCGGTAAGCCGAGTAAAGTAGAGGAATATTACGACAGTGTGCTGGGAACAACACAGACACCGGCCGCGGCGTCTTAAAACTCCGGTAGAACAGAAGTTTGTGGCGCATATCGCACTAGAGCCTGTGGTTATCAGAGGTGATCGCGGGCTAAGCCGCTGTTTTACATGTTAACAGTGAATGCGGGCATTGGTCCTGGTACAGCCCGGTAGAACTTGTCATGGAGTGAAAGAGGTGTGTGTGAGGCGGGGCCGCGGAGAACACCGGAGCAGGCAGGAGGAGCAGTGGTGCAGTGCACACGTGATGTGTTTCAAAGGAATCTATGTCAGTCTATTAATTTTTTGAATATGTTTAGGCCTATTTACTGTGAGTGTGAGCTACAAAAGCATATTGCCAGTTCAGGCTTTACACTTCTATGTTCGATACAAATGTGAATGTGTTTGTTCGGGTGAAGTTGTCAGTGCAGTCATCCTTCACCAGGTGGTGCACTGAAGAGAGAAGACCAGGGGCCTCATTTATAAAAAAAAAAAAAAAACTGCGCAGGAGTTGTCGTAAGTTAGTGCGTACGCTTAGTAGCGAGAGGGGTCTGGCTGCAGACACATGGGGAAAGTGGAGCTCCACTCCAGACCGGAAACACGTGACCTCCACCGGAAATACGTCATATCTACGATAGACTTTTATTTTTTATTCGTATTAGCCATATTAGCCGTGTCCCAGTTCCAGGGCGGCAGCTTTCGAAGGTTGTGAAGGCTGTGGCCTTCACTGTAGCTGAAATGTGACAGGTGTAGCCCACGGAGCCGCCCCGTCGCCTAGCAACCGAGACACTTTGCTAATGCTAATGCTAACAACACGTACCACGCAGATGACGCACGGGTAATCAAACTGTTGGAATTTCAGACCAAGTTATTCTAATAATTCTCATCCAAATCTTATGGGTAAAAACGATAACTTATGTTTAACTTTTGCAAAACAAAACGGCGATATTTCTGGGATACATCTAAAATAGACTAAATTGCCTTAAAGTTTCAAAAACTGATGAGATTATTAATTATTAATAAAGTATTTTTAAATTGATAAAGGATTACATTTATACCGGGGATGTATTTAAGTCAGTTTTTATAAAGAAAGACGTCTCTGCTTTGAGAAAAGATGGTTTATTAAACAATCAAAGGATTATAAATACTGTAAATACTTTATCATAATGTGACTAGTCAAACATTAAACCCATTACACAAACACACTCTGCATTAATAGGTGAGTACAAATAGCTGTATGTCAGTGTACTCTCAAAGAGTTGTTCCCATTTTGCTGAAGCAGAAAAAAAAAATTCCAAAATATGATCAGGTGGAATACCACTGCTTAACTGCAGTACAATAGTACATTCTTATAGTACATGTAATTAGTTACTTTCAAAAGAGACAGAAAGTAAATAGCACATTTCATCATGAATCAAACATCAGTACAGACTGAAAAAACATTCAGAAAAACTTATTATGAGCAACTTATATGACTAGTTTTGTCTCATACACTTGTTAAGATCATATAAGGCCACATTTATCATGGGACACTTCCTCAGTGATAAAGCTGTTTAGGTGCTCTTCAGCTAAGACGAACAGAAACCACCATTTTACTGTTTCACTTCTGGAGGAAATAAAACGTTAAACCTAATCTTTATGGACACATCTCTATTAGGACACATTAGGAACAGCAGCAAACAGAATGTGCAGGAGGGAGGCCTGATGCAACCAGAGGCCCCACAGGTCTACAGTCTGGACCTCCTCCTCCTCCTCCTCTGTGAGTCTGGACATGGACAGTGGAGACATGACCCAGTGTACTTGGATCATTCAGTCTGACATATCTCTCGTTTTCTGGAGGAGGAAGAGCAGAATGGGCCTTACGTCTGACTGGTTGAAATTTCTGTCTGCAGAGTGAAAACCTGTAATGACACACACATTAAGAAAACTATTACATAAATCCAAACAGCTAAATATCACACATTTGAGAAATGTGTATTTTCAGAAAATTAAATAATGATTTCAACATGAGCCTGATTCATTTATTATTATTGGAGTTTTCAATGTAACATGTCCCAGACCTAAACAGAGGCAGAAGTCTGGGTCAGCACCTCCTGCTGTTGACTTTTCTTTGTCATCTGCATTTGACCCATTTCATGAATCATGAGCGTCTCATCAGCCAACATTTCTGTGGCCCCAGCAGTGTGTTGTGTTCTCATACAGGAAGCTGCAGATGAGAAAAGAACATGAATATCAAACAGTTTACTCACTGTTATGATATTAGATGTGATAGGCCAAACAGACACAGGTGTCTAGTATCTACAACAGTGTCTGCAAAATCTGTTAAATGAGCCTTATGTCCACCTTATATCTGACCTGTCCAGGCAGGATTCTTTACTTTTCACTTTACAAACATGCACGGATTGTTAAAAGCAGATAATGTATTCCCAGAATGAAATGCACACGTTGGAGGTTTATGTTACATGAATATAAGTAAATATAAGCTTTGATATATTTAATGTTTTATACATTAAACATAAAAAACTGTGTCTTTTATGTTTAATGCATGAAATAATGCGTGTTTTTATCTTACCGCACTTACACTTATACTGGCCAAGTGTTTACAAGTTTTCTCCTCGTAGCTTCATTAAATCACTCCGTGGGCTTCTTTACCCCTAACAGTAAAAACATGATTAGTGTTTGATGGAAATCTGTCCAAATATGAAAGTTTGAGCTGACTTTTCATCGCGTTAGCTGCAGATTACTAATCAAACTTTTAGCTCAAATCTCCGAGGTTCATGCAGTTAAAAATAAACTTATTTGACAGTTTTGTGGGAGTTATGGCTGTATTTTACATTTACAGTTGTGTTAGTAATGATTTCCTAAAGTTAAAAGCGTGTTACTCACATGTTTTCTCCGTCTTCCAGATGGTCGTTTTGCTCTGTGTTTGTATGTGCGAACAAATTCCATAACGTAAAAACAATCTTATTTAATAAACATTTAATTGCGGTCAAAATAAATCGTTTTCGTCCCCCATAGGTCTACATAAAAGTAGAGATGACGTCTTCGGTGGAGGTCACGTGTTTCCGGTCTGGAGTGGAGCTCCACTTTCCCCATGTGTCTGCAGCCAGACCTTCTTGGCTAGTAGCTACGACATTCGTGCGCCACGCAAACTCCATATTTAGAAAACCCACCACACGCACCAAACCACGCAATCTTTGCTTTATAGATCCCACCTGTCTAAAATCTTGTTAATTTTCTGTGGTGTTTATCGCAGCAGCGTCTCCAGCGTCTCTGTACGTGGCCCCTCCCACCAGAGCAGCACAAATGAAGACTTGTCTCTTTCCAAACGCTCTTAAAGGACGATCGTTTTGACTGTTGACCGTGACACCCTCATCAGAAAAATGTCCAAAATGAGAAAAGTGGAGCCGAGTGCAGGATTTTCCAAGAAAAATTTACTTATTCCTATTTACATACAAGTTCATGTTAAAACTTTGTGTTGAAATTGTATTTTTCTTAAAGTTTCCGGTTGTTCATAATATTATAATATTTTGTAAAAGAGTTCATCAGTTAAAAAAGATTTCTGTAATAGATTTGTGTTTCTCTGCACAAATATTTAAACCTATTGTTATTTTTGGGGTTTATATGACATGAGTTTTCTGATCCAGCCCCTTTGAGATCAAAGTAGGTTGGATACGGCCCCCGGACCAAAATGAGTTTGACATCCCTGGCGTAGAGTTAAGCAAAGAGCCACGCCTTAGTCGAGTTTTATAAATACCGCGGTTGGCATAGGAAGCGCGCACGCACGGATTTTTGCGTAAGCAAGTTTTATAAATGAGGCCCCTGGTCCAGGTCTTATATCACTATGAGCTGGACTAGCGCAGCAACAAGGATATAACAGTCCACTGTGCACTGGATTAAAGGAAAGGTAAGCTTGTGATTAAATTAAAGAATTGGCCAAACATGTCCAAAAGCATGGACTGCACCCCCCAGCACAGGCCGTTATTATTACTATTTTAAAATGGTTTTGTTTGGCGCATTTCTCTTTGGACAACGGGCACAAATTTTAGCGCCCAGACCAATGATATCACAGTCTCTGTTTATTTAGTGTAGTGTGATTGGACAACTGTTCTGTCACTCACGTTACGTCATGTCAACCTGCTGCGTCAACTCGTAGCAGTTTCACGATTAGCGGCAGCTAACTACTATAGCCTAAACCTCCCATGGATTTATTAAAAAAAAAAAAAAAAAAACCCTCCACACAGGAAATCGCGAGGAGAGAGCCAAAGAGCGGACACATGACAGACCCGCCGCCGGGGCCAGGCAGAGGATAGAGTCTATCCGCCTTTGCCCGCTCGTTTCTGGGTATAAAAGTTTGACCACTGGTAACCAAAATATTCAGAATTTATATTTATAATTTTGGCCTTGGTGCCCCTCCCAAAAATTATAATTTATTTTTTTAATATCTCACATCAGGAGAAGTGTGTGGATGGCGTGCCCTCGCGTTCCACACCCACTACACCCCTGGTGCTATCCGATGTGTGGTTCTTCCTTGCTTCTTTCAGTGATGTTCAGGGGTGTTTTTGACGAGAGGCTGTTGTTTAATGTTTACAACCAGTGGCAGGCCTTATTGTTTTTTTGTTTTTGTTTGTTTGTTTGGTTTTTAAAATAAATTTCAACCTTTTATTATTTTCTTGTGTGCGTATCATCTACCACACAGCCTCAACAACTATTGCAGCTAATAGTAATAATGTTAACAATAATGATAATAATAACAACACATAATTAGCCTAAACGTGTTTGATAGCATTTCTGCTTTGTATGACTCAACGCCATTAAAATATTTCTCAAATGGCAGTGCCCCCCTTGCTGGTGACTCACCAGTAGACGTGCTCTGGCGCCGACTCGGAGTATGGAACACAATGTTCTGTGATTGCAGGTGTAATAATGAACACCATGTTTAATAAAAATATGTATTTGTTTAGGTGTCACCGACCAAACATCTCCTCTTTAACTGTCTGTATTCTTCACTAGAAGCCTCCATCACACTGGACTGGTGAACATGTAAGTAAGACTTTATTTATATAGCACTTTCCGTCCCCAAAGACACTTTACAGAGCATTATTCATTCACTCTATACCTGGTGATGGTAAGCTACTATTGTAGCCACACACACACACACACACACACACACACGGGCGACCCGGGGATTGAACATAAGGTGTGCTGTTATTGTTGATACGGTACCAAGGCTCTGGCCTATAATGCCATACATTCTTTTATCGATGATAAGTGAAACTTTGACCTGGGTGTGAACTTTTGTTTGTACATCAATCATTTGTGCTTCGATCATTTACCTGGGCACCCAGCTACGAACACCTCCACGCTTATTTACGTTTCATTTACATAAACAATGAATATGCTTTTATGTTTATTTTTATGTTTTTTTATATTTTTGTATTTGGTTAGAGGGTCATGGGGGGTGATGAATCCAGTGTGGTGACCAAGCGCAGGGCTGTGACAGTGGCCCATGTGGAGAGCACTCTGGCTACTCAGCCTTTATTGAGTGGCACCACAGAAAGAAGCCAAAGGGAGGGTGGCCTCACTATAAAGGATATGTGCTTTTTGTTAGTGGTAAGTTTGTTGTGAGTTGTTATATTTAACTAGCCTTACTAACCCTTACTGCAAAGACATTGTTTGGCATTAAATCATAATATGTTTTTCTGTATGAACAATAATTGGCATAAACTACAGTAGTTAGCTGTTGAAATTAACTATGTTCTATGCTTTCTCTCTCTTTATTCTCAAGGTAGCCGCTTTGAAAACACCTGTAAATTGAACTCTCTGCTGGAAAAGTCACAGCTGACCAAAAGGGTGTCTGCTTCCCTCAAAATATAGGGACGATTCCGATGATTCCACTGATATTCATAGTGAGAATGAGCCAAAGAAAGTTAAGGTGACATTCATTTACATTTGTTTTACAGTATACAGTCATGGATAAAATTGTGGTTACCCCATTATAATTAATGAAATATCAACAAAGGTCACTAAAATAACTTGAAACTGAGAAAAGCAATAATAAATAAAAGTTTCCTGACAAATAACCAATGAAAATCACAGTTTTTAAGAAGTTGTTCAACAGAATTATTTAAAAAAAATAAACTAATGAAACTGGCCTGGACAAAAATGATGGTACCCCTAGAAAAGACTGTAAATACTTGCACAATAGGGACATGTTAAACTTAGGTGTGTCCTCTAATCTGCTTCACAGGTGTCTTCAAACTTCCTCAGTCAGTCTGCCTGTTTAAAGGGTGACACGTTGTCATTGTGTTGTTTGAAGACATGATGGACACAACACTGAACATGGACCAGAGAAAGTGAAAAAGAGAACTGTGTTAGGAGACTAGAAAGAAAATTATAGACTAGCAGGTTAACCCTCTCCAGGCAGGTGTTGCAGATTTGCAACAGCTAAATGCTGATAAACGTGGACGATGCAGACTGTGCAAGAATGGCTACACGCAAATGGCCTGCCAGAAGTGCAAAGTACTTTTGTTGTTTACAAAGGATAAAAATTTAATGAAAGGTGTTACCTAGTGTTAGAAAGCTTGGTCTCAGTCATAGGTCATGGGTCTTCCAACAGGATAATGACCCAAAACACACAGCTAAAAACACCCAAGAATAATCAACCATCTCCCAATCAATTAAAATGACTGATTTTCAAAGAATAAATAAATATAGCATAGAAAATAGTATAGATCTACTGCACGTGAGACATCTTTGTAAAGTGAATGTCAGATCTAATTAACCTTTATTCAGTGACTTAAATATTCTGGAAGAGAAGCATTGTAGGGTCCTTTGTGTACACTTAGAATGTTTTTGATACTTGATTTTATGTGAAGGGACTGTTTTAATACTATTGATGAAGTATGATATTGTATTGAGCCTTGTTAGTGGTTTAAAAGTAGTATTTTAAATGCATCTTACTGTCTAACCATAGCATGTTCACTGTAAGCTAAAGAGCTGTGAATGCTTACATTGGTCAAACTAGAAAATGCTACTATGCATTTAAACCACTTGTTGAAAGTTTAACTGGTTCCCATGATCAAATAAACCCTAATGTTTCTACGCTGAAATATTGCTTTAAGTGTGTTGCAATGAAAAAACAAATAATACATATTTCAGAATTAATGCAGTCCTTGTGCAGTCTGTTAACCCAAACAGACTTCATGCTCTATAAAACTCCTCAGAAATGTTATTGGATCACATAGTAATGTTTATAAGAAATAATAAAATATATTACTTACTTACAATCATAGAGGAATTCGATTTTTTTGTTGCATTATTAGAGTAATTCATTAGTATTCTTAAACAGTAGCATTCTTGTTCTTATGAGCGCTCCTGACTGTTCGTAGGATTTGTTCTTCCAGAAGAAAATTTTCAGTTAAGAAAAAGTCTTGAGTGTCAGAAATGTTAATAAGAAGGCCTTAAGTACAAATTTATTTGTAAGAACGCTTCATGAATGAGGCACATTGTTCTAGTTGTAATGTAAACCTTCACCACTAAATCCTATCACACAACTTAATACTTATTTAAATATAAATAACAAAAAGCACTTCTGACAGTAATGGGTCTACTTGTGTAGGTCATGCAATGATCTAATGCAGGGGTGTCAAACTCATTTTGGTCCGAGGGCCGTATCCAACCTACTTTGATCCCAAAGGGGCCGGATCAGAAAACTCATGTCATATATACCCCAAAAATAACAAGTTCAAATATTTGTGCAGAGAAACGCAAATCTATTACAGAAGTCTTTTTTAATTGATGAACTCTTTCTTATTATAATATTATAATATTATGTACATTCTGAAACTTTAAGAAAAATTCAATTTCAACACAATGTTTTAACTTGTATGCAAACAGGAATAAGTCAGTTTTTCTTGGAAAATCCTGCACTCTTTGTCCACTTTTGTCATTTTGGACATTTTGCTGATGAGGGTGTCACGGTCAACAGTCAAAACGATCATCCTTTAAGAGCGTTTGGAAAGAGAAAGGTCTTCATTTGTGCTGTTCTGGTGGGAGGGGCCACACACAGAGGTGCTGGAGATGCTGCTATGCTAAGCACCGCAGAAAATTACCAATATTTTAATAGAAAAAATTATTAAAATATTTTAGTAGAAAATCACCCAAGGGCCACATTAAAGGTCTTGGAGGGCCGGATCTGGCCCCGGGGCCTTATGTTTGACACCTGTGATCTAATGTGTTTATTTTGTGTGTAACGGTTTGTTGATCTCGATTATAATAACAGTACAAGGTCAAGGCTACTGGAGTACAGCTGTAACACTGTTCAGAGCATATTCTGTATCAGCGTATTGAATCACATTAACCAAAAGACTGTCATGAGTTCTGTTCACCACAAGATGGAAGCAAAAGTCCAAACTGAGAACGAGTAGCAGCAGTATTAACAACGTAATAACGGAGAATATAAGAAGCAAACATATAACATGTCAATATCTTAACTTTACTTTATTGTCTGCACAAAGGATACAATTCATGCTACAAGCCAATCCCACACAAATTGTTGTTTTCTTTTTATGATTATTAGTAGGCGCAATTATCATTATTATTATTATTATTATTAGTTTTTGTTTTTTTACAAATAACTTCATGTGCGATTGTGAATACGTTATTTTTCGGCCTAGTAAACAGCTGGCCTGAGCCTCGTATATGACGTTCTAATTGAAGTGGAATACTTTCTCCCAATTAGTGAAATCCTCCTTGAGCTTTAAAGGGAAAACCCAAAGGGCAGTGTGTCTAGAGACCCCTTTGAAATATGGACTGGATAAAAAATATTCACTTGCCCGTCCAACATCAAGCAAAGAAAATAATTAGTTTTTCCTGGTTTTGTCCTAGTTTTGAACGCCAACGTTCAGCTGTGTTAGGTCAAGGTAAGACAAGTGTAAGGACAAATGGTGTGACTGTTGGACAGTAGGGGGCAGCACAACAGCACACACCTACTCCTCAGGTCCATATCCAATCTGCAAGAATAAAAACTACAATACTAGTATACTTTTAAAGTAGAAACAATAACAAAAAAATCCAATATATGTCCTGTGTTTAGTATTGAAATTGTGATGCTGTTTACGGTCTGTTAAATTTGGAAATCATTACAGGACTCTTCTTGCCTGATCTGTTCTGTTGGACCAAATGCTTTGCATTCTTTAGTATGCTTTCGTCGTTACAGTCCCTATTACATACTGCACACATCCACAGAAACAGAATGCTCTGACTTTTCATTTACAGGTCAAGTGTATCACTGAAAAGTTAAATTATAATTGGAAAAACAATGCTGAACACATCTTGCCATGTGGCACAAAGCATGTTTTCAGATTGTCCTTTCTGAAGCATAATACGAAGGCAGCATACATGCAAAAAATTTAAAGGCATTGTTGAAATTTATATAAATATTCAGCACACATACATCAAATATGAAATATAGAAATAAATACTACAACATTCAAACAACATCAGAATATGTTAAATATATTTTAACACATTTTCTATACAAAAAAAAATATGTTATGAAAAATGTCATATGAGCTACATACTTTACTTATTTTAAAACACTGCTTTATCCTGTTTATCATGTGTCTTCTTCACCAACGACCCATTGCCTCATACCCAAACTGTGGAGGTGTTTTCTTGGGGTTTCTCCTAATAGAAAATTTGTTGTCACTAAGAATATTTAATAAATGGTCTTTAAATGATATATTATAATATTATAATATTTTTTCTTACCCTCTGGTGTTGAATGTACATTACTGCATCATGGACTGTGACAAAAATGTGTTGTGCATTTATGTAGTTCATTAAACCACTAGATGTGAGAATCCTTAAGACATTTTCTGTAAAAACAACTACAATCAATACACAAAATGTGAATATAATTGTATTTTAAATTTCTATAGAACTCACCATTGCAGTTTGCTAAATATACACTCACTCCAACCATCTGGCATTCGGTGCACATCTGTTAAGGATACAAATATAACAGTAAAGTAAATATAACAATAATAAATTAATGTAGACTTTCTAGAAACACAAATGCAAAAACCTGTATGAAGAGTCTTGCTCCAGCTATATCCACAAATATGACACTACTGCAGTCAATCAGTACCGTCTGTACTTCATTTTCAGGAGTCTCTGCACATGATGACCCAAAAAATGTGAGTTTCAGAAATGGGATAATTATTATTAAAATCTTAAAAGCACATATTTTAATTCAGTTAAACTGCTGAGAACTACTGAAAATATTTAAGGTTGCTGTATTTATAAAAAGTGAAGAAATTAAGAACATATCATACACTTACCAGGCTTTAAAATGTCATTATTAGGGGAAAATAAATGGTTTGCAATGCCTCTTTCCTAAAATGAGTAACGAGCAGTAATATTAGTTTTGATAATCTGCAGTACAGTATAATGAATTAACAAATGTAGTGCAGCAGCTACCACACACCACAGTGTTGACAGTGGTCTCCCTCTCCCTTTTCTCCAGGGCTTTCTGGGCCTTTTCTCGGCTGCGGATCTTCTCTGGAGTCAGGCCAAGTAGCTTATTGACTTCCTCACGAAAGAAACTGCGGTTCCCATAGTAGATTGGCCCGTTGTAAGTCAAGATTTTAACCCCCGGAACTTCATAACACTGAAGGCAACATAAGAAACACAAATTAAAAATAGTGAATGTTAGTAGAACAGTAGTAGTACAATATTGAACTAATATTACTACATGAAAAAATATTTTAGTGCTCATGTATTATTTTTGCAGTGCACAATAAAAATTTGCTCTGTGCAGGTAATAAATGACAGGCATGTCAAACCTTGGTGTGTTTTTCCATAGGTCTGTAAATTTCTGTGTTGCTTGCTCGACCAAGGACCGAACAGCCAGCCCTGTAGACAACAATGCAACACTATAAAGAACAACAAAATCGATATTCTTCATAATGTTCTTCTTTGTCTAAAATTTATATGAATATCTAATTACATAAAAATCAATTCTCTTATACCTCTGTGTGCGGCATATAACAGTCATCATTGAAAACACGACCCCAATGGCCAGACCCAAGTCCACATTTAGTACCACAACAGATAGCCAGGTCACCAACCATACCATCTACATAAAAATAAAATAAAAAACATTATTACTTTCATCCAAACTAAACAAGACATGGTAGACAAATAAACAAAAAATAGCCTTATAACAACAATTAACAGTACTTAATTGTCTTGAGCAAAATGTACTAAAATATTGCTGTTTTAGGGCAACGACAGAAATAACAGTAACACAGGTATGGTATGGCTATACATAAAAACATTTAGTTTTCTGTTTTCTATTCAGATCTATGCAATTGTAATGTTATGTAAGTTTGTCATTGTCCTTACAAAGTCTATCTTGCTGATTCTCCAGAGTTCAGGAAGATCTTGGAACTGCAGAAACATCTGCCTGAGGCTGGTGACATTGATGCACGCTAGGACAGCCTGAGAGGACAGAGATGGAGAGATTCAGTTAGATTAGTTTGTTTTTCTCTAATAACATGTTAATGTAATCGGAGCATGCTTAAGCACCTTAGGTAGGAAGTAGAAGAGAGGCCCAATCAGCAACAAGACTATAAGAACTACCAGACTGGTGAACAAGCCAGACAGCTGGAGCAAATACAGAAAATATTGTTTAATTGCAATCTTGTACAAGCAGTATGATACTAATGATATCTCAATGAGGATTTGATAGTCAAGTATTAAATAAGTAAGAACCTATGTTTAGTTTTTAGAAAGCTAAATGACGTTCATTAAAAATAAATACCTGAAAAAAGAGTATCATATTAATATAAAAAGTAGTTCATAGTTTATAACAGAACTATGATCCAACCTGGGTGTGTCCGCCAGCACTCTCGAGTATGTTGGTGGTGGCTAAAGTGGCTGAACTGGGGAAACAGGTGAAAAACGACGACACTGTATTAGAGATGCCATGTGCCAGGAGCTCCTGTCACACAAAGACCTCAGTGAGTGACATCTCCAAAACAAGAATGTGCTCAAATGTTATTATTCACCTGGTTAGGATGTATTGAGTAACCATGTTTATCTGCATAAATCATGGCTAAAGACACGGATACAGCATAACCCACAAATGTTATGGCTATCGTGTCTCCAGCGATCTCAGGAAAAACATGCACAGCAGGCATCCGTGGCCTCGGGAACCTGTGTACAAAACCAATATGAACGAGATATCCGGAAATGAGGATATGAAACACACAACAGGGATTTTTCTTATGGTAATCTCACCCAGCTGGGATGTGTCCAACTATCTGTATGTTGTAGGAGGAGTCCAGGGAGAAGCCATATGCCACTGCTGTGGCTATGATCACCTGGGGAATAAATTAGTTATAACAAAATATTGGTATATAAACAGAAAATAGTCTATGACTATGACTACTCAGCATGTGAAAGTAATACCACAGCTATAACTTCTAGTACTACTGGCAATTATTGGTGTTGTTAACTGTTAATGTTAAGGTATTTTTTACTATGATTACCCAATACTTGAGAAAAACATTAAACTTTACTCTAAAAGTGTTTTTGAATATCTATGTAAAGTATACTTACTATAAGTATCTCCACAGGAATGGGCGTACGCAGTTTCTGTTTGTATCTCATATTAACTTCTTTGATGGCCACAAGAACAATAAGACACACCAGAGAGATCAGAAGCTCTGCCATGTTGGTGTCACCAAGATTCTCCATCACAGTTGCCAGAGTCTGAATATACAAACCAAGATTAGACATGTTTTGAGATTATGTGAGAGTATCAATATTACCTTGAACAAAGAAAAGGTGCCTGTGTGGCGGGGAAGTCGCAATCCCAGCATGCTTTGCAGCTGTGAGATGGTAACGTGGAATGCTGCTGCACTAGTGAAGGCCTTAACAATTGGTTCTGAGAGATAGGTGGACAAGAAGCCCAGCTGAAGACCAAACATGCAGAGCTGGAGAAACATTTATAATCAGTTAATATAAAAGACCTTGTAATTTACTTAGATGGTTGTTGAATGTAGTGTCGAACCATAATAATTCCTGAGAGGAGAGCCACAGCTGATGCCACAGCGATCCTCTGGGCCTCAAATTCAGTGGCTACAGAGGAAGAAGAGTTCAGGTCCAGAGGAGTGGGCACAAGCTGCTCCACCACAGAGCCCGTCATCAGACTGATCACAGCAAAAGTGCCTGAACATCCACACAGCCAGGGTGAGGCACAGCACTTACACATAATAAAATACATTAAAATGTTCATTTAATGTCACCTGTTGACACATGACGACCTGTGCCAAAGAACATATAAAGGACCACAGGGAAGAAAGATGTGTACAGACCAAATATTGGGGCCACAGATGTAAGTAAAGCAAAAGCCATCCCTGTTGAGAACAGATTTCTTAGTTATTTCAGCCAGTCTTTTAATTCAGAGCTACGTTGACAATGTAGAGGCAAAAGATAATGACATACAGCAAAATAATAGTCCACAATGACATAATAAAGTTATTTTGACAGCACTTGAAAATATAGTAAAAATGCAATGACATAAAACAACTAGTAACTAAATAACTACAGTTGTATTTGATGTGGGTGAAGGATTGTTTCTAAAAAGACAAAAAATACTGGGCCTACGTTTAACTTGCATTTGCACCTGTCCTTATGTTATGCAGTGGTAACTTACCTTGAGGAATATGCAGAATCCCAACAGTGAGTCCCGCCACAGTATCTCCTAAAATCCAGTTTTTGAGTCTGTAGCTGGGCAGCCAGCTGAAAATAGGCACCCTCTCCTTAAGCAGGTGAACGCACGCTCGGCGTGAGCACCTGCACGTCCCAGTGAGCCTCTCGCGGAGCCGTGCGTCTCCCCTCGCGTCATCATCCGCGCCGTAGGCCTGTTTGAAGCGGTCCTCCGTGTAGATGTTTCGGTACACGGCTACAGAAGCGCTCATGATGCCGCTAAAGTTGTTGGTGATTGTGCATCATCATCCAAACAGTGTTGTGAAGTAAACTGTTGTCTTTTGCTTTGAATATATACGAGGGTCTGCCTTGGTCTCAAGAGCCATCGCACTTTCCTGTCGGACTCCTCTCAGCCAATGACAAGGCCCAGAGCTCTTTTTTTTTTTTTTTTTCTTTTTCTTCTTCTTCTTTTTTTTTTGTTACAGTGTGAACTCTTTTTTTCCAAACTCCAGTCTCCTGGACCAAAGGTGTGCATGTCCAGTTTGCCCCTTTTATTCCTCTGGGTCCTACTGCTCAACAGTGTTTGTATTGTTGTTCTATGGTAAATTTAGACTTGCTGAAATGTGCCTACACACTCACAGCACAGTCTTATCTGACCAAAAGATTATGTACTCTCCAGAGAGCTACGCTGGAGGTTCTGGCCAAATGAGCTACAATTGAGCTTTACAATGTGCAGCACTGTCAGAAGTCAGAGCAGATCAAAGTGCCATTGTTAGTGGCTCTGAGGTGTAACCTCAAACCAGCCTTGCCAGTAAGGAGTTCATTTCCGAGAAGGATGGATATCTGTTTAAACCGTTAAGGCATTAGCAAGAGTAAGGTCTAGAGAGACCCCCATGAAACCCAATGACACAGAGCCCCCTGGTCCAGGGATCAAACCACAACTTGACTCTGATAAGGCACATCTCATGAATGATGAGTAAAGTCAATACAAGGGACACTCTTATTAAGACATGGTTTACTAGTATCTGGACTTTAAAAAAAATCCTTAAACAAACATTTAACAAAGGTTAAATTAGGGAAAGTGTTGTTTATAGGCAGCCCTTTGAATGAACCTGTCTTGACAGGCGTCGCAGGTCCCACAAGGCAATGGAAGTCCCTGCAGTGCCGCTGTTTTCTATTGTTGCATGGACCAACACCCAAGGACCTGGGTTTGAATGGGTGTAGACCTTGGCTTGAAACATCCATCCTCACTGCATCCTATTTAGTTTTTGTGTGTGTGTGAAACATGAGCAAAATAAAATAAAAATATGATCCAAGAAATAATACGAAACACATTTCTCCTGGCACAAACACTGTTATTTTAGAAGTCGACAAGTCAAATGATTATTTCTGTTGTACTTTGAAACTTTTCAAGCAAAGTGATAAAGGTTAAACTTACTAAAAGATCATGATTAAAGTGTATATACTGCTAAAGATCTGAAAGTCTTTTCTTTATTTTGCCAATTTGATTGAAAAATGCTGTCTTACAAAACATCTTTTCACAAATGTTTTACAGTTTGTATAGTAAAGATAACCATTAACACAGTCAACTATTATTTTAATAGCCGTTTGGTTACAATTGTTTAGGTTAATTGTTGCAGTCATATCTGTAATCCAAATATTTGACTCATGCTCTAACTCATTCACATAAAACATGCTCAGTAAACTTGTCTTTGTTCTTAAGCATCAACAGGTAGACCTAAACACTGGCTTGATGGGCTCTACTGCAAAATATCTCCGTATAAAGGATATAAATTCTAATCAGCTAATTTTGTTTGAGATCATGAGACTAGTTGTGACATTAACAAACAAACACACAAGGCAGTTGTTTGCATCCTGTTCCTAGAACCCCTCTGTCTGTGTCTGTGCGGCAGTGGAGGAGATCCAGTGATATAAGGGACTTCCTCTAAATGCCAGGAATGTGGGCCATTGTGTTGATCAGCTCTGGAGAATTTATGCACACACCGACGACATGGTGTGTCTGCGCTCTGTTTAAACAAGATATTAATCTGTGGTAAAGGGAACAATGCTCTGAATACAGAGGATATGGATTGTTCAACCACACTAGACAAAACCCATCATAACGCAGACACACTTTATAAATTCAGACAATGAAAATGCTAATACTTGTGTGGCAGGACGCGACACAAGACAAGCTATATAGTGTTGTTTATGTCACCAAAAGTGCTGCTGTGTTTGGTGACATTTTAGGCTATGGTGTTGTCTATGTTGTGGACAAAATATTTATTATTTTATATTAGGCTTACTAAAAAATAAAACAAAAAATACTTAAGCCATAGAAAGTTTTTTGCATCTCCTCTGCTTCCTCCTCATTCATACCCAAAGTGTCTCCTGGACTCATGGGTGCACTGTTTTTGTGGACCAGGGAGAGAGTCAGTCATTATGTGGCCTATAGTTCCTGCAATTGTTCCTTATCTGCTTTATGCGATGCTTGTGCTGACCCCCCATGGCATGTTACTTTGGATGTGACCTTGTCTATGAGACTGGCTCCTAGTGTCTCTGTCTCCTCTCCCATCCCTTTCCGCTGGCTGCTCTTTTCTGAACCCCACTGACTTTACAACTTGATGCAAGCATGACTGCATCCATCTCATCTTTTGAAGAAATGGTCGCATTGGTTCAAGAATTTGCTGTAATTGTTCTTTTTGTCCTAAACAGCATGAGGGGTTAAGAGTTCGGCTGAAAAATGCGTGACCCATACATTTATCTGGCAGCGCTTTCAAGTGCATTGGATAGTGGATGTTTTAGAGCCTTGTATCTATTATTAGACATTACAATAGTGAAGTTTTATTATAGACTGTTTATATGAGCATTTCCAAGCTCATAACATTTCCAGGATCATAACAACATTCACTCTTTAAAGGCATTTTAACTGAAAAGCATTTTAATTTTCAATAAATTAGCTTAGTATAGTGTCTTCTAAAACACTAAAAATATGTTCACAAATGCTGCATTGAAGGAGAGGCTAGCATTAAACAAAGTAGCAAAGGCTTGTGTCTAACTAATAAATCTAATGAAGATACTTAATTCCAGATTCACAGCGCCTCTAAGAAACAGAAGTTACCCACCATCTTTGAATAAATATTACCATGGATGTCTATCTTAATGGTGGCAATGGCATTTCATTTACTTAAAATGCCAGGCTGGCCCAGGCCTTATTGTGTGTGGAGTTTGCATACAGGTAAAATTGTCCAGCTAAGGTTTAAGTCCTGGTCAGGAGATGGGTCTCTAGACGCAGCACAAGTTGCCCAGTGGTACTGAAGGATGGGTCAAATGTAGAGGAAAAATTTCCCCACAGGAGCAATAAAGTGAACCATAAAAGTCCTATAGTACGCAAAATTGAATCCTGTGAGCTTTAAGCCATGTTAGAACATTGTTACCTAATCAAAAACATACCTGGAGTTGTGTTTTGTTTCACTGACATTTGAGTAATCCTTTATTATTAGTCTGTCTACATCTCCAAAGTTCAAAATGCTATGTTCCACCTTGTGATGCCATGCAACAGTAGTTTTCAAATTATCAGCTACCTTTTACCTTTGTTTAATAGAGATTGTCAGTTGGGCTGAAATGGGCTGAAATTATCCAATCAATTCTAGTGAAGGATTATGTAATTTAAAAACACAGTGGAGCACTTCCTGTATTACCATATGACACCACAATGTGGAACAGAATATTTTCTGTTTGAGAGAAGAACTCAGCCCAAATAAGCAGGGTTTGTGTGTTAAAAATCCGTGTATCATTCGTTCATTCATTTTTCAATATAAAACCAAAAATAAGAAAACGAAAAAAAAAACAAAAACAGTTTTCTCCATTATTTGTCTCTAAAACCAAAATGAAAAAATGGATAACAATTCGTTTTTTCAGTTTTCAATTTTGTGTTTAAATGAAGAATGGAAAAAAATGGATAACGACCGTTTCCCGTTTACGTGACTTCCGTGACTGCAACGCCGGACTTTTGCACCACGTACGGACTGAACCAGGACTGATCCAGGTCCGGGACCAGACCCGTACCAGAGCGGACTCCGAGCTTTGACTCTGAGCCTCTGCAGGGTCCCGGCCTCAGCTTCGAGTTCCGGTCCTGCCGTGGGCTCTGAGCCTCCGGTCTGGTCCCGGTCTACACTCGGCCTGGTATCGGTCTCAGTTCCGGTCTGGGTAGTTGGTGCGCACCAAACGGTCCATTCAAACCAAAAGCTCTTAGTTCGGTTCGTTTTCGTTAGTATGAAAGCTTCAATCAGTCTCGGACCCGCACCAAATAAAGCATTAAAAAAGAGGTGAGGAGGTCGTTTGCTTGAATCCACACCTCTGGTGTGAACGCGAACTCGGGTTGAAACCAGAGACAGCAGGTCCAAACAAACTATTCCAACCAGCGGAAGCAGCTCCGGTTCAGGCCGGGCTCAGATGAGCTGGAGTGGGGAGTGATGTTAGAAGCCTCGGCCTGAGAAGTGTTTTCCCCGGGGAAGAACCAAATGCGCGGGGGACAAATGGTCAAAACAATATAACCAACCAAACTGGATTCACTCTTCTGTCCGGACGCTTTGCACCACCTCAGAACCAACCATGGTTCTTGAGCGTGGAGGACCGGAGCAGCCCGTCGGAACCTGTAGTTCACAGCGCATTCTCGCTTTCCCCGCACGGAACCAGCGTGCAGACGGTGACACGGAACCGCTCGGACCGGTCTCAGTCCCGTTCTGGTCCCGGTCTCAGTCCCGGTCTCAGTCCCGCTCTCGTCCCGGTCTGGTCCCGGTATGAGTCCCGGTCTGGTCCCGGTCTCAGACCCGTTGTGGGCCTGGTCTCAGTCCCGGTCTCAGTCCCGCTCTGGTTCCCGTCTGGTCCCAGACCTGGATCAGTCCTGGTTCAGTCCGTATGCAGTGCAAAAGTCCGGCATCGCAGTCACAGAAATCAAGTAAACGGGAAACGGTCGTTATCCGTTTTTTCCATTCTTCATTTAAACACAAAATCGAAAACTGAAAAAACAAATCCTTATCCGTTTTTTCATTTTGGTTTTGGAGACAAATAATGAAGAAAACTGTTGTTTTTTCATTTTTACCTCCGCCAAGGAGGTTATGTTTTTGCCGGCGTTTGTCTGTCTGTTTGTTTGTCTGTTAGCAACATAACTCAAAAAGTTATGGACCGATTTTGATGAAATTTTCAGGATTTGTTGAAAATGTGAAAAGGAAGAACTGATTTCATTTTGGGTGTGATCCGGAAGAAATCCTGGATTCTGGATCACTTTGAAATTTTAGTTAACATTGTGGTAAATGGGGCCAAAAATTTTGTTTCTCAATATCTCGGTTAATTATTGACCAAACCCCATGAAATTTCACTCAGGGATGGACAATGGGATCCTCTTTCATATTCCAAAGGCTGATCCGGATCTGATCCAGAAGACTGATTTT